ATCCACCCACTTCCATTTGCACTAGTTTATTCTTCAATGAATGAGAAGTAACGCCTCCCTATCCACCCTTGAGGCAGAGACATACCCTATTCTTTGATATAAAGCAGAGTGGGTGTGCTGCTGTGTTTCTCAAAAGGGCAAAAGAAAACTCCATAATCCATATGTCGCTCCTTTATGTTGATCTACCTCCTAAGTGGGTGGACAGAAGACAAATTACATCAGCCATAATAAGTCCAGGTCTATTGGCTGTCCTCCCCAAACGTCTAAAATGGGATCATGATAAATTTGAAAAGCCTAAAATACGCAGACAATTAAGTGTAGGCTTTGGAAGGACATGTCTGTATGTCTTTGTCCTCTCATGGCATCTGCCTCTGGTTTCACCGCTTTTATTTAATCACCTTGATGTGTGTGTTGTCTGTCATGGGGCCCACAGTAAATTGCACTTCAGCAACAGGTCGTCAATACGAGTGGGTAAACAGCATTCATTATGGAAAGGTCATTAGGGAGCTGCGGCCATTTCAGGAGCACGCATCTGTCTTATGGCCTGCTGCACTGGAGGCTGCGTGGGTGGATTGTTTTATGGAAATATTAGAAGTAAACAGTTTGTAGCGATTCCTCCCACTCAAAGAGCCCAACTCATTAAACTGGTTTTAGACGATTCTGACATCGTCCAAAGCCAGTTAAAATAGTTGTCTCATGCACTATATAGAGTTAAGTGAAGTGAGATATAATTTTTCACTCCTGCTCCTCAAAGCTTTTTTATGTTTATTTTAAAATCTTTCAAATCTTGTTCATATTTTACATATTTTTCAATATTTTCATCTATCCATCCATTTTCTTCCCCTTAATCCATTTCTGGGACAGGATTTTTTTTAATCTTTTTCATATTTTTTCAGTCTTTAATCCATCTTTTTAATTGTTAAATAATATACACCTTAATGCAAACATTTTATAAACACTGACCTTTGTTCAAATAAAAGCAGAAACAAAGCAGGGAATGGATCAATAAATAAAAAGTTGCTCATAACTCATCTAAATGTAATGTTATACAGTTGAATGTTAAGGCTGGGGGGATCTAACTTTCAGTCAACAAAAAGGGAACTATGTGATCCATGAAACTGCTCTCAAAACATAATGGTTCTTTCAGTTTTGACATGCATGTATTTTTGGCCTCTGTCACATCTTTAGTTCAGCTATTCTAGGCAACTCATAAAATCTGCGACTCACAGGGCTCTCTCTATTATCTTCTTACACAAATGGTAAAGCTAAACATTTTATAATCAGATAAAATTAGCTTGTTGTGGTTTGATTTTTTTCTCAACATTTCGTTCACTTACAAGACACACAACCTGTATTATTTAGGTAGAAATAAAAGTAAAGTATCCCACCTTTTTTTAAGAATAGTTTTTGTATTTTCTAATTTATGGAAATGTCAGTGTTAAAAGAGTTGTTGTAGGCGTTTTGTGAATACGAAGTGATAGTAACACAGGATCAATGACTTTATGAATCAAACAACATTACACCGTCAGACACGATGATGCATAACACATTTTTTGTTCCAAATTAGGGGCTGGTCGGTTCAGTGTACGTCTGAGTGTGTTTATAGACACAACAGTCACTGAGCAAAACTGCAAATAATATAACTCTTTGCACAGTTGGCATATTTGCTACTGAACAAATGTAACATTGTGTGTACAGTTATGTTTCTAGTCCCAAAGGGTTCTGTCTTGCAAGTCAAGGTCAATAACTATTTGCTATAATTTTTCCCCCCATTGAGAGCCTTAAAGGCAAAAACTGCTCAATATGAAATCTGTAATTATGATAAATAATAATACAGTATTTTAGAGTAATGTAACAAAGTTAAAAACATTTTAAAAACAAGATTAGACAACTGAAGACATGTTTGAAAACGAAAAATATGTCAGGATCGGTGGATGTGGTATGTTCAGCATGAGTTTCAATGACTTTTAATTGTTCAAATTGAAGTAAAACTAAATGAAGAGCAAGGGCAGCTGTATAAACTGAGCAAGTGTCACAGGTTTAAAAGTGTCTGTTGAGGGGGTGTGATCATAAAACAGGAAGAGGATAAAAAGGGGATAAAATTTAATAAAATATTTACAAAAGGTCCATTAAAATCATGATAAAACCCGTAGTCCGCTGGGCACCGGTGTCCTCCCTGGCCTCGGTTCCCTCCAGGCCCTTCTCCGTCCCGGGACCGGGCTGCAGTCCCGCCAGCCCCTTGCAGACCACGGGTCGCCACCGGGCACCCGCGGGGAAGAGCCGGCACATCCCGGTCTTCGGTGGGCATAGCCCGGGCGCGCACGCGCCAGTGCGCTATCAATGCGCGCCCCCTCACCGGTGCCGCTCTGCCCGCTGGCCTCAGTGCCCCGTGGTCTCTGGCTGGCGGTGCTCGTCCTTGGCCCGGTCCCGTGTCCTCATCCTCTCCCCTGGCTCTCGTCTGGCTCTCCTCTGCTCTCTTCCTGTTCTTCTCCCTCCTGTCCTGCAGTGCCCGCCCCCAATTAAAAGGTCTTGATTAAAACAGGTGCGGGTGATTAGGGGAAGTGTCCAAGGAACTGTGATTAAAATCCATGCATTAAAAATATAAAAACACAAAACACATCACACAAATAAAAGCAGTTAAAAGTCCTTATTAAAAGTTCACTTTCCCACACAAGCAAAACAGAAACTTAAAAAACTAAACAAAATGGTTCTCTGCATTGGCAATTATCAAAAAACAAACAAAAAACAAAATATTACACCTGTCATTCTATTTCCATGTCATGACCTCGCGCACATAACTTCATATTATGACTATACATACATTGTATTTGAGACCGGTTTAGTGGTTTAGTTTTCTTTTCTCGTCAGATTCTTGATCAAGTGTAGTTTTATGTGTCCCGAGACCAGTGGAGGTGAAATCTTTCAACGGCAGAGAGTGGAGGGAGCTCAGACCATCTATGGAGTCAAGTCAAAGAGATCAAAGTGCTGCAGCCACGGGTATTATAAAATCCTATTGGATGTGCACTTATGCCAAAGCTTCCTTTTCTGATCATGCACAGGCGTTGGTCATCAAGTATGACCAAGTAAATGCACAATTACATGGCAACAGTTTGACTCAGTTACATGGATATTGACCCAATTACATGGACAAATACTGGTTCAAAAATCTACTAAGGCAAAAGAAGGTTTAAGACCGAACAGATGTTTTCTTTCTTTAAAATGTAAGTGATTGAGACACTGCATGAAGAGTACGAGGCAATTTGGGAATTGGGAAACACGCATAAAAATATTGTGCCGACATGGGAGTTTGATGATCTGAGGTTTTGTTGCTTCAGAGATTGTGGAAATATTGTGTCATGGCCTATTTGTAAAATCTAAAGCTCTTATGTACTTAAATGTGATTACAAATTGAATAGATTTTTCATTATTTCAAGGAAGAGAGACTACTGCTTCTCTTTGGCCTCCCCAACAAATCCCTCCAGAAACTGCAGCTCCTCCAGAACTATGAAGCTTGCATCATCACCCGGACCCCCACAGCTCACCACATTACCCCCCGTACTACAACAACTCCACTGGCTTCCTGTTAAACAAGGCATCAACTTCAAAATGCTCCTCACCAGTTTCAAAGCACTTCACAACCTGGCCCCTCCGTACTTCTCTGACCTCCTCCACCCTGCCACTCCTGCCCACACACTCCGCTCCTCCTCCTCCACCCTCACACTCTCCGTCCCCCCAGCCAGACTCATCACCGTGGGACACAGAGCCTTCAGCCACTCTGCCCCCCAGCTCTGGAACTCTCTCCCCCCTGACCTCCGTACCATTGACTCTCTTCCACTCTTCAAATCTAGACTCAAAACCATCTGTTCAGACTGTACCCCACCTAACACACACGCACCCACCATCCCATAATGCACTGTTTTATTCTGTTGCTTCTGTTTAATGTTTTTATTATGTTCTTTGATGATTTATATAAAATGTATTATTATTATTATTATAAGAGTCTTATATGCCTAACTCAAAATTAGTGCTTGCTCCGATTCACTATATAACCTTTCTACTCGCCTCTGCCCAGATTGTCTAGTATGGTTTGTCAGGATGATTATTAGAGGCATTAGTAGTAAATTCAGGTTCTATTATTGCTCAATAAAAACACTTTTTTCTCATTTTAATGTCATATTTTGGTACATTCTAGTCAAAGAAATAACATCTCTACAAAGTACAAATTGGACAACAGCACAGTATGAGATTACAAGAAAACATCTTCTAATCAAACTTCCTCACATACACTGGTTATAATGAAAAAGAGGGCATTTTTCCTTAGTTAGATTTCATGATATTGTAATTGTAAACAAGATAGTATTGCTTATTTCATTATAAGTCTTCAGTTTGTCCAATAGCATGTTTCCCATTCATTCTTGGTTAAATGGAGGAACCCTTTCTTTTTTGGTAATAGGTCACTGGTAACCATCTGGGAGACATTACTGTCAAACTCAGTGAAGGGGAAAATACACTAAATTAATGGCCCTTTGCAGACAGTAAAGAAAGAGTCCGCATTTACAGTATATGGCGCAGAAAAGCAATTTAAATTGACAACTTACTCTCCCAGTAAACATATATATTTTTTTTTTATTAGGGTAGGGTAGGTAAAGTATTATTATTTGGTAATAATACTTTTATGGAGGCAAATGCAGTGACACAGTGAAGTTTATCTATAATAACCTTTTACATTGATGCTGGTTAAAGACATGCCATTGACTGACAGAAAAATAAAATCACAGAAGAATGACTTGTTGACAAAGTTAAAAACATCAATTTTTGGTCTACAATGTCTAATGATGAGACCAGACACTAGAGAAAAGAAAACAGGCGTCAGTAGTACATACAAATTCATCAATCGCCACATGTTTCCACAGTGATCACTATTGTATTTATGCGGCTCGAGTCTGCCCTCTGGAGTTATATTTTTTTCATTACCCTCCATAGAAATATTTTTTTTGTTATTAGACAGCGACTGCGCGGCCCATAGCCGGGGTTTTCATTGGGGCAGATGGAGGAGAAGCTTTGCCTTTGTATCCCAGTGTCCGGATGTGCTTTTGCAAATGTGTGATCCACTTCTGCTGCACTGAGAGGGGGCCGTTAAAAACCTCATCACAGAATCTGAAGGGAAACAAGGAATGGTAGAAGTCATGATCCATTGAGTGTACAATCTTATATATATTAATCTTATATATCAATCTCTTGAATGTATTATTAAGTAATACATTTATATTTCCCCACTGTGGGACAAATGAAGGTTCTCTATTCTTATAAAATACATGGCACTATTAAAGCAGGGGTACTTGACATTCAATCCACAAAAAAATGACTACTACAACATCGATCTAAATTTAGCTTGTGCCTCTCAAAACAGTTGGATGATATCACCTTTTCACATGTATGCATTTTTTGGCCTCAGCTTTTTCAGTCATAAAAGTGAAAAAGAGAGGACCACCGTCACCCAGCCAATCAGGTCTCAGCCCCAGCCTTTCTCATAAGTATGCGAAAGATACAATATTTAAAAAGGATATGATTAAGCTGTGGAATAGTTGTGTTTCCGTGTAGAAAATGAGCTGGATGAACAGATCTTACCTGCACTTGAGAGAGTAAACTTTTCCCACCACTTTGACCAGAGGAGTGAGTGGAGGCTTGGGGAGCATTGCAGGGATGCTGCCTGGACGTGTGGGCTGAGAGTCCTGGATCTCCTCCACAAGAGACACTGGTGCTTTTGGAGCAAGAGGCAGCGCTGTAACTAAAGTATTATACATTGTCAAAATAGTCATTGTAAAGTATTAATAATGATATTTTATTTTGTTCACCTTTAGTGGTAAACACATGTTGATCCACAGTTGACCCGGGGTTGTGCATCTGTCTGGATGACACTTTCTTTTCCTTCAAGCTCTGAACGGAGTCTGAGTCGGTTGATTGAGAAGGCGACGCAGGCCGCTGGGTCTGAAATAATATTTGACAAATGTATTATTGAGGAAATTACACAGGTTTAATGTGAGAATTATAAGAATGTCTCCATTTTTTAAAATTATGTACTATGTTTTGATTTTAATTATTTAGAAAATCTCTTTGATTAGTGCTAAACAAATACATGTGCCTTGCACATTATAGTGTGTTCTATAATGTTATGTATATGTATATATTTAATTATATCTACAGTTACAGTGCTGAGGGAGGAAATAGTACGATACAACATTCATACAGATAATCACCAAAAATAATCACTAAAAACTATGTTTTCAATTGTGTGCTCAAGATAAAGCTCCACCGATGTGTGACCTTTATGAAAACAAACTTGGTGAATGATGAGTGTATGAAAATGCATCGTTGAGTATTCTTTAGGTTTTATTTAAAACAACTTCACATTTTGCCATTTGGTTCAGTCATCCTCGTGTGTACTCTCATTTATGTACTTTGGATGTTCCTAATATTTTGATGATAACGTTTAAACTAAACTTTTTAAATACTTCAACAATAAATCTGTTTCTTGATTTGTATCAAAAGCACAGACCTTTCGTATGTACAGATCGCCCATTCTGTAGCGCTGCGTCACTTGGGCCACCTTGGAAGGGGCTTTCTTGATGATGTCACTCAGGAGCTCGATGGGAGAACTCGTGCCATCAGCCTTCCACTCGATGCCCAGCTGCCGGAGATGCGCACGGGCGTGACTCGCCAAAGCCTTGCGGTTGTCAAACTCAAAGCCACACAGCTCACACGCACGGCCTAAAAAGGAACGTAAATATGAGCAAACGATTAAGAAAATGTCATCAATATAAGCTGTTCTTAAGATGTGAAAGTTTTGCATCAAAGCCAACTCTTTAGGGACATCACTAACTGGCTTAATAACCTTTCCAGAAGATTCAAAGAGATAAAAAACTCAACATACAGAACTTAACAGAAAACAAGGACACGTATCAATCAAACTAATTTGCTACTAATAATAGCAAGAGGGATTTACCATTTCTGTTTGCAGTCATTTTGCCAGGCGGGGATTTCTCTTTCATGGAAAAGTCCAGAGGGGAGTTTGATTTTGAGGACTGTTCAGCTTGGACCAGAGTATCCAGGGATCTTTTAGGAGCTGGGGCCTTTCCTGAGACTTTAGCACCACTGGATGCGTTTTTCCCCTCTTCCGCTTGCTGAATCATGATTTCTTTGAGAAGCTCGATGGGAGAAGTATTGAGAGGCAACGCGACTCCCAGTTCCCTCAAATGACAACGGACGTGACAGGACAGAGCTTTACGGGTGTCGAACAGCTGGCTGCAGTACTCACAGGGAACTGTTGGTGGTTTGTCTGAATCTAAAAGAATGAAATAAACAAAAATTTCAAATCACTCTCTAGTACTTATCTAAAACTTAAAAATGAAAAAACAAGATGCTGCTTATGTTGCTCAAGTTCTGATTCATGATTTGTTGCACGTGCTGGGTTTTAACTAACTGATTTCTGATTAAATAATTACTTTAAAAGCGAAGTTAGGTCACAATCTTTCATTCATTGTTTTTGAATGAATAGAAGAAATCATTAATTCTATCAATACATTAAAAAACCCAATCAAGAGAATCAAGAGAATCATAACAATATAAAAGTAGCTATGTGATATTTCCAAACTCTGTCACTCCCTTATTGTTCTATTGCAGTTCTATTGTGAGCCACAGTGATTGCATTTCCGGTGTTTTTTTATGTGTTTTTATGCCTTCTGTTGATTAAACGAATTGCCCCTGGTGGGATAAATACAGAAGTCTGAATCTGAATCAAAATCAATAAATCAAGGAAAATTCCTTATGTCAAATAATACTCATATCGGTAGTTTGGCCATGTGTGTTCACCGACAAGAAATAACCTGTATTTATATAATAAAAATATCCTGTCTCATTGTATTAAAAACTAAATAAGATACAAATCTAGCACCAGCATCTGTAGTGATAAAAAGCAACAATACCTCAATTGATACAAGCAGGTGTCTTCCACTAATATAAGTTACTGAATATACCGTTTAGTTAAAGTTACCGTCAATCAGTAGTTTTGGAGCAGGTAGAGTGGAGCTGCTACCACCCAGTTGAGCATCATCGTCTGTAGTCTCCAGCTTTGGTTTTCTAAAAAAAGGATCTACAGCAAACCGGAAGCCTTTTTTAGCCTTTGGAGCACGGTTTGGTGTTAGGGGAGAATTGGATGTGATTGGGGACAAAGCCTGAACTGGCTGAACAGGAGAACCTGACATTTGAGCTTGCTTTTTGGGAAGAGGTTTCAACACGCCGCTCTCAATCAACTCCTGAATGGCTTCGATAGCGGACTCTTTCCCAAGTAAGTCGTCCACCCCAAAGTGGCGAAGATGGTAGCGTGAGTGAATGGCTAAGCCCTTGTGGTTCTCAAATGTGTCTCCGCACAAATTACAGTGAAAATGTCCTTTTTTTGGCTGCTTGCTTGGTGTAGACATCATTGGTGAGGATGCTTCAGCTGGGCGTTTGGTGGCTTTGGCCGAAGGGCTGGAGGCGAGACCTGGATTAGTTTCACAGTTGATCGGTTTGAGATCTTCCTCCTCCATCAGCTGGTAAAGAGTCTCAATAGGGTTTCCATCTCCATCTGGGATCCCCAATTGGCGAAGGTGAGATCTGGCATGACTGGACAGGCCTTTGCGAGTTTCACACCAGCATCCGCAAAGTAGGCACACGTGGAGTTCCGCATCAGGAGTATCTGTAAATGTGAGGAGAATAAAGACATTACAACAAAAGATACAGAGAATAATATTAACTGTCAAAATAAGCAACATTTTCAAGCTCTATCTCACACAGCTACAGACACAATTGGATCTAAATTAGGGATGTAGTAGACTAAACTACATAGGGGGAAAAATGCTCTCAAAACTATTCTTTTAATTAACATCCAGCCCAAATTCTCACAATACTGCAATTGCACATGTTAATGCAAACTGTTTTATCATAAAATAATATAAACTGCTTTGTCAACATGTTCAAAACAACTCCCCAGTGTTCAAACTGACCTAAAGTGATGGGAGCGTCTGTCGCCAGGGGAGCCCAAAGCGGCTTCGTTAACGTTTCTAAGGTAGAAGAGTTCCCAGAGTCGCTTAATCTAGACTCAACCATTTTAAGAGCAGATGACGACAATGGCAGAAGTGAAGTGCTTTGGGAGGTTGTTGAGACTCTATGCCCTGCGTTGTACACGATGCCCTCATCCTCAGCACACACTGGACTGGCCTTCTGGAGTGGCCTTTGTTGGTTTGGGCTGAACTCAGAATGACTTGAGTGTGCTTTGACCCCATCTCTCTCTGCTATAAGCCGGTATAGAAGGTCTATGGGAGCGGCCCCAGGTTCAGATACACCAAGCTGGCGAAGGTGCACCCTGGCATGGTTGGCGAGCCCCCGGCGTGTATCAAAGAATGAGCCACACACTTCACAAACGATGAGCTGAGCAGGTGCTGTGGGCCAGTTCACATGAAACATCAATGTAATAAAACTTCACACAACAGAAAAGTGATAGTCAACAGAAGTCTTGTTTAGCTGGCTCAACTGCATATTATGAAAAAAAGTCATAGCAATTGATGAAGATAAAATGAATAAACTTACATTTAGATGAATAAAACATAATGGGATGATGATCAAATCACACATGACAATGGACATTATGATTCTTACCTTCAGAGTCCATAGTTGGCACTTATGCAAGGGGCCTAATGCTTTTTTTTAAAGTCTTAAATATATCAAATTCGGGAAAGTATGTGGCCTTTCAATAAACAACACTATTTCTGCCGACTTTTGTTTGGATCGGCGTTAGCATTAGCATCTTGTTCGTTGAAAAGAAATTCTAACACGAAACTACAATCTACTCGTCCACAATACGGCAGTCAAATCCGAGATTGAGCTATAGTCATTCTTGTTCTTTTCATATTCCCAGATTAATTAGTTGGATTACATTTTTCTCGCAAGCTCTGCAAAGAAAATGAGTGGTGAGGAAATATTTTTTCAGCGGATATGTGGGTATGGATGTTTTTCAAAATAAAACAAAGATTCGCCCAAATTCTGCAGTTTTGAAGTTCAGTGAGCTTTAAACAAACTGAAAAACATACAACTTAAATCAAAATCTTAATATTCAAAATATGAACATGTTTGATAAATATTTGGAGACAGGGATCAATACAAAATATTAATATGAACAAAATGTGTCTTGTTGTGAAAACATCAGATCCATTTCCGGGTGGTACGCCTACTTTGGGCTCGTTACCAGCACTCTGTCTTCTCTGATTTCTCCCTCCAGACCTTACTCTGACCACTGCTTTCCTGCGGCATTACTCAAAAACAGGTGAGTCAAAATGCGTGCCTTTACATTGCTCCGTGTAATAGCTGCTTTTATAATAATTGTCCCCTATTTAGGTTTACCTTATTTGGATGGAAATTATAAGCACATGTCATGTGAAGTTGAAAGCTAACTCGAAGCTAGCCGTGTTGTGCTGCACTTTCTTTCTTAAGTAACACGGGCCTGTTTGTTGTCACCAAGCCAAATTTCTCTGCGTTTCGAACCTATCTACATCGACTCGCCCAGGGATTTTTTATTATTGCAAAATTTCATTCTCAACTGTTGTATTTTGTCTGTTTTTACTCATTTGCTGTGCTGAAGACAGATCCTTGAGACAATGGACTGAAGCAGATGCTAAATTTGTGAAATGGGGGAAAAAGTAGTTTAGTAAGTAAATGCAAACATTGAATGCGCTACTCCATAACAATGTAAGACAAGTTTTTTTTTATTCTAGATTGTTTTATACTTATCCATGCAGATGTTTGAATTGTGCTTTCTTAAGCCTCTTAAAACCCCATTGTTTCCTGCTGAGTGAGCATGACTTGCATGTGACTAGAGGTTTGGTTAAAAAAAACAGGCGCTTGGGAAATACATCCTTTTGACATGTTCAAGTGTATTTGCTCAAGTAGTAATTATCCAAGGGCTTTTAGCTGCTGTCAGAAAAAAACAAAAAAAACTCCACGCAAGCTCCACCCAGCGTCTTATCGCCCTGTCAGTAACATAAGGATCTGTCAGATAACAACTGCCGCCTTTTCCCAGTTATTCATCAGCACCATGGCTTCTGGAAACGCTAAGATCGGTGAGGCCGCTCCTAACTTTGAGGCCACATCACTGCACACAGACGGATCCTTCAAAGACATAAAGTTATCGGATTTCAAAGGTATGTTGCATATTTCTTCCCTTTTAGTTCAGGATTTTATGGCTTGACTAACCACCTTTTCTCCAGGAAAGTATGTGGTGCTCTTTTTCTACCCCCTGGACTTCACCTTTGTTTGCCCCACTGAGATTGTGGCCTTCAGCGATCGATCAGAAGAGTTCCGTAACATCAACTGTGAAGTTATTGGTGCCTCTGTAGACTCTCACTTCAGTCACCTTGCCTGGTATGTGTCCATGCGAGTTTAGAATTGTTTTGATTTTACAATTGAATACGACAACTGCACAATCCGGAGTGGGTGTGTATTTTATATGTATTTGTGAGAAAAGTAAAGTTCACATGGCTAATAATATGAGAAACTTGATGGCCTTATTCAGTGTCATATCAATACCATAGACTCAAACTGCTGCAGACATATCCTCATACCGTGTTGAATCTCCATAACATTCTTTTTGTTACAGGACCAACACTCCACGGAAACAGGGAGGCCTGGGTAAAATGAAAATCCCTCTTCTTGCTGACCTCACCAAATCAATCTCAAGAGACTATGGGGTGCTCAAGGAGGATGCTGGAATTTCGTACAGGTCAAATTTGCTGCAGAAATGTTTTTTTGTATAACACTAACAAATGCTTTCAAAAATGGTGCTAATTTTATTTTTTGTTCTTTGCTTTTTCAGAGGTCTGTTCATCATCGACGATAAAGGCATCCTGAGACAAATTACCATCAATGACCTGCCTGTGGGCCGCTCTGTGGACGAGACCCTGCGTCTGGTCCAGGCTTTCCAGCACACCGACAAGTATGGAGAAGGTGAGCAAAACAGGACTCTCATCCATTTCTCATCGAACTTGACAAGGTTTCAAAATCAAACGTGAACAATGATCATTTACAATTACTCATGGAGTGTATTGGTTGAAACATTGTGTGCATGTTCACTTCTTCAGTTTGTATCTTTTTATGGTGTGGGGTTTTATCTGTGATGGAATGGCCTTGTAGCGTAGGTTTACACTCCTGGCTATTGCCCCCTGTACTCTGACCCCTCAGACTTTTATTGTGTTAAAGGTCTTTTACTGAAGCTTCATTGTACATTTCTTTGTGCTCTACAGTCTGCCCCGCTGGCTGGAAACCTGGCAGTGACACAATCATCCCAGACGTTGGGAAGAGCCAAGCTTACTTCTCCAAGCAGTAGAAGCAAATGCAGCAGACTTCCTAACATTTAGCACTTGCCACACATGATTCCTAGCAGTTGCGTCCATAACATTTACATGTATGAGGTTAAATGATACTTTTTCTTGTCCTGTGTAGAATTGGTGGGTGACCTCATAGTCTAAAGCACTGAATGATGGTATGTCCTTTTGAGTTTAAAAAAAATAAACTAACATCTGGTGTAATGGAATTTGTTTTAGTCCCTCTTCTTGCCTCTAGGTGGCAGTATCTACATTCTAAAAATCACAGGTTCCTTCCCAGTGTATTGACTGTTTAACACCATTTGTTAATACTGGCCTGAAACGCTTCATAACCGTTAACTGGATCATTGGTAAAGCTTTCTTAAAACATCTTTGAGCTTAGACATTGTGGAAGTGAAGCGTTGTTGCAATTCAATTTTTATAAGCCTTTTCTGGCTTTACGTGTTGAACTTGTTTTTGAGAAATTGAAAGCAACAAGGGGAAACTCCCCTCGTTATGACCTATTGACAAACATCCACCATGAACGAGTTTGTGAAAGAAATACAGCTTCTGACTGGCAATGTAGGAGGGAGTTCCCGGAAATGATGTGACGTTTACGGGAAAAAGTTGACCAAATATGGCATATGTACGTCAATGGGGAAACTGTCCTACGCTGGGACGTGTCCGAAGTCAAATGCCTGTTAAAGTGGCGTGAAGTCATAAATGTACAAGTTTTTGCCAAGGCCTGTGTGGTTGTGCTCTGTAATCTACGTGATAAAGACAATTTCCCAATGAGGCTTTATATTTTAATTTACTTAAATATATACTATACAAGTAAAAAATATTTATCAGGGTCAACCCAATAAACAAATAAGTTACATCACAGATGGTCACAATAAAGTAAAATGTAAACGAGCAATGACACGACACTTTAAAGTGTTTTCAGTCTTGGGTTTTGCCAGGAGCAGCATAGTTCAGTCCAGACAGCAAAGTGCCGGCTGTGCGCCGGAAGTGCAATTATTGTCCAGTGTTTAAAATGTGCATTTACAGTCTTTAATAAGACTTCACTTTAGGCGCCAGAAGAAGTTGACAGCCACTGGTCACGTGCGTCATAACTTTCTGTTTGAGTTGTGCCACCTGATCGCGCAGGACAGATGCGGTATTTGACAGTCCAGCGTTGTCAGTTTTTAGGACTTTGACTTTTTCCTCCAGACGAGCTATGCGCTCTAGTTTTCGTCTCCGACATTTGGAGGCTGCTAGTCGGTTCCTCAAGCGCTTACGCTCTGCTTTGATACGCTCCTGGTTCTCCAGATCAATAGGAGACATGGGTGGAGAGCTGTCGCTGCTGTGCATGTCTGGTACAGTTTGGGGCTCCTCTTTCAGCCCACAGAAGCGCTGCGCGTGGAGCGGCTGCTGGAAGTGATGGGACCCGTGCGCAGCAGCTTGGTGCTGGTACTGGTGATGATGGGGCAGGTAGCTGATGGTGGTGGACGGATAACTAGGCGCAGAGGACAGACCCGTGCAGCTGTTCAAAGTGGTGTACTCCAGTGGTTCTGGCTGCATGGACACACAGGACACACCACCTGAAAGAGACACATTTGGAGGCGCCATGTGGTTCATCTTGTGCAGGTCGTCCAGAGCCTTCACAAAGCCGTCTGCGAAGCCCTCCTGCTCCTCAGTGATGCCGCGGTTGTAGATGAACTGCGCGGGGGTCGGCGTTGTAGTGATGACCCCGTTGCTGTTCTGGATGATTAGTCTCTCTAGTTCAGGCGACGCAAGTTTCAGAGAGCCCACGTCTCCAGAAGAATAGAAATCTCCGTTTTGCGTCTTGAAGTTTGAGTTCCGATAGGATTCGGAGAAGTTCAAGTTCATATTCTGTTTTAGCAGCTTGTAGTCTGGCAGTGCTGCGCCTGGATGGCCATAAGCAGAAAGAAACGAGTCGTCATAAAATGGTTGTTCCATAATTGTGGACATATTTCAAAATCACAGTCAAATACAAGAGCGCAGCAAAGAGGCTTCTAGACACAGCGCTCTCAGTGTCCCAATGATTCAATTTCCAAAGTCCCTCCGTATTAACACACTGAAGAAAACTATCAAAAGCAGAGAAAAACTTCCGAACAGTAAAGTACCAAGCGTCGATATATACCTTTAGACTGAGGTACAGCGGAGTCCAATGATTAATTGAGCTGTTTTCATTCCGCGGTTGAAGCTGACACTTCTCCTTTAGTTCCTGCTTGATAGTGATCCGCTCGTGCTGCTTCTAAAGTATTTAACCGGTGACGCGCCGAAGCGCACGAGCCCCGAGCTACCGCGCTATGATTGGCTGTTTCCTCTTCTTTCCCCGCCCCCTCAGAATGAATGACGTTGTTGCCAGGAACAAGGAGCGTAAAACAAGACGAGGCCCATTCGCAGTGGAACAAACTTGCTCAGGTAAACACAACTACCTCCATTTCAGTCCCACAAACAAAGTTGGTACGTATTTCTAAATCTTGAACCTCAGTATAAGGCACACACATTCTCATTTTACCATCTAAATTAACACTTTAATGTATCAATCCTCTATGACAATTCCCAGGAGGATGTATTGTGGAGCTGAGTCACGCCTTTGAACCTGATAGCGGACAGTCCTTATTTGGGTATATCCTGGCGTACCAGTTCCTCCCAGTGAGTACCAGGAAGCCCGTCCTCCCGTGGCCCGGAGCTTCATCACCTCGTGGGGACATGTTAATTCTGGGAGTGTGGCCTGAAAAATGCATGGAGTGTTAGGTGTCCTCGGGGTGTTAGGTTGACAAAGCATTATCAAAACAACACGTGTTTATTTCTCTGACAATTAAAAATAGAACATAATATTATTTCTTCTCACTATTGTATCTATAAAAGTTGTGTTGCCTTGACAAAATATATCAACAGTTGGATAATAAATGATAGAACTAAAATTAAAAAAGTTTGAGCTAAATTGATCACAAAAATAACACGTGAATTCAGACTGGTGCTTGGATGTTCAAGTGTCATATAATAATTATATCAAATTGGATTATTCAAAATATTTCACTTCTCATTTACAGCTTCTATGGGACAATTGCATAAAGGAATTTTATCATTTTTCATTAGTGTTTGCAATGATTTTGACTATTATAATCTGCCTACCTCATAAAATTGTATGTTGCATATGTTGCGGCTGTAGAGCCTCAGAATTGTCACTTTGAGCCTGTGTCCTAATCAACAATTTCAAGTTCACATTGAATTCAAAGGGCTTACTCCAGTTACAAAGGTGACTTGAGTTTTGACATAATCCAGACTGTGTAGTTTCTCCTGTTGTGGAAAAAATACCTTTAGATATTTTCCATTATTATATTAATTTAAGTTTAGAGAGATTAAATGCTTTATGCAGAAAAAGGGATCAGCATGCCATGGGATGACCCAAGTAGATTGACTCAATATTTGTTGATTTTATTCCATGTATTCTCCCGCTCTTTCCAGGGCCATGTAGCTGAGGGAGCTGTGGATGGGGATGCCCAGACATTCTCCACACAACCTTCTTCCATCCAAATCTCAAAAGGTGTGTCCACCCAAAAAACTAATTTGATCTTATGCTTTTGGTTAGAGCCCAAAGATCATGACCATTGTTGAGGGTGGAACATGTAGATTGTCCTTATAGACTCAAGATTTTACTTTGATTTGATCAGTCATACATTAGTTGGCTAATTGAAAATACATTTGCTTTCCACTTGCTGGTTATACACGATTTCCCGCATGTGCACCCCAAAAACGGCACGTTTTTGGAGGGAGGAGAAACCTGAGCACTCAGAAGGAAACTTGAACATAGAAGAACGTGCAAAATCCACTTAAGAAAAGCCCTGCACTTGCCTGGAATCACTTTAAACCTCTCACTTGAAAATACCAAGCGTTCAACTGACAAAATATCCATATTTGAAATAAACTTGAAATAAAAATTGTGCAAAAAAGACATGAAGTGTTCAAACAAAAGGTTAAAAGGGTAAAATTATAGGATTGTTATTGAGAATTATGGGATTGAAAATAGTCCTAATCTGGATGGTTACTTATTTATACATATTTCAATGACCATAGTTACTTATTCTCTGAATATAAAATTGTGTGAAAGATGTAAAACCTATATTTGTGCAACAATGGGGACATATCCGATTTTGACAAATTATACACATGATTGAGCTTGAGTTGATGGCGCTTGTTTTCACTTTCCTTTTTATTTTTTAGAATAACTTCAGGAATACACGTTTGGGGCTACAGATTGACCAAAACAGCACCTCATACATACGATTGTGTCACTTTCTTTGAACGCTGGTGTGATTCAGAGTGACAGGCTGCACGGAGGAGGCTGAGCAACAAAAACTCTCCACAAATGTGAAGAAACAACACAAAAGTTACGAAGGGCACATAATGTTATGAACTGGACTTATAAAGATGTCAATTAATAGGCCTGATATTGAGTTTGAGCTCTGGTAATGTTTACTTGTCTTGAGAAATGTAGTGTGTAGAAAATGCCATAGAAGAATGTACCAAATGTACTAATAATACACCAAAAAAACATTTGCTATAGTTAGTTGTTATAATAATTATGTGAAGGATGTAAAATAACACGACAAGGTTGAATGTTTTATTTGGTATTGATTGGATTGGATGCTTGATCAAAACGAGTTCTGTTCAGTCTTGCACTGTGTACAAAGCATGATACAAAATTAAGCTGGGCAAAAAAGACTGATACACCGGGTACCAGTCAGCGAGGTCCAAGCTTTTGGATACATGTACACTCTGGATGTTTGGGAACCCTTTGGACGCAGGGCTCCAGTTTGATTTTGAACAGGAGGTGATATCTGGCAGATACGGGTAAGGGGTGACATTTCAACCCTCCCAACTGTCATGGGCCCCGATACATGGATGGGTCCCACACAGCATTGCCCTCAACCCGTCACTTGCGATAATGCATTGTCAGCACCTGCAGATTTGACTGATTCATATCAATTACATAGCAGATATTATCACAGTATTCCTTCCTCTTGACTTTGAAACAAACTTTGCACAATGACCACCTCCAAAGGCTTTAAAATGACTTCATACTCGCCTGTTTGACCCGTTCCATCCGCTGCTTCTTAGTGGCCACTAAACACTGGCCAGCCTTAACTAAATGAACCAGAAGTAACTTTTCTCCTCTGTCTTTGGCAAGGTCTTGGTGCTGGGAAGCTCGCTGACCTGGAAGCGGCCTGTAGGTTTAGTGAGTCAGGTAGTTCGTCTCAGCTGTCCCCTTAAGCAGGCGACAACTCACACACACCCTCCTCCTCAAGTGTGCACGGAACTCTTAAATTAACACTAACAAGCAACCTTTTTATACTTTCACCCCCCTTTCCCTTCAACCCAAATTCCCCTCTCCCTAACCATGCTCCCTACATCTCCCTCCCATCGTTATTTGGCCGCCCGTGGGAAATTGAACGGTCTTTTGCGTGCTTAATAATCGCTTTAATGAAGGCATGTTTAATCGGCATATTCTTCATCTGTAGCTCGCAGATAGTGCCAAAGAGCCTCGTAGCGACAAGAGACCTTTAGCACAAGACGCGGATGATTGCTGGGGCCAAATGAGTGTGGCAGGAAAAGGCGGTCGGACGCGGCAGTTGCCTGGGGCTGACGTAACGCATATGGAGATGTTCTTCCCACTTGGGCGCCATCAAAACGCACGCTTAAGCTGCCTGTCATCACGCCAGTCTGTGGTGGAGAGGGGACAGCGGCAGTATGTAAGCGCAGGATTTAATTAGGTCTAATCTGATTTTACATGGACATTTGGTTTATTAATTGAGCAGGCGCATTGGCATGGAGTGTGTTTGAACTGGGTACAAATGAGAGGCACGTTTTGGAGGAGGTTTGTGTTCATAACATGATTAAAAATGTGGGAGTCATTAGGAAGGGGCAAAGAGGGCTCAAACACAGGCTGAGGGTTGTGGGGAGAACGGCCAGGTGTGTGTGTTATAGGTAGCCTAAAATGAGTGCGTTCACTGGACTTTTGGGAGTACAACCGCACTGATTTTTTATTCTGCCTTTACGCTTAAAGCCATCTACATTTCTAATAGGTGGTTAGACAGGTGCGCTCAATAGTAATGTATTTTCTTCCAGCAAATCTTACTGGTGGTGTTTGTGCCAATATCACATCAAGTCGTTTCTGAGGACTTTCCGTGTTTGATTCTCTGATAAAAACGTAGTAAAGTGCAATATTAACAAACGCATAGAAGCCATTGGTCCATAAGGAGCGTGATGTTAATTAATGTCCGCAGATGTCTCCAAATGTCCCGTATCATCACTGTCCTGAGACTCTCCTACATCGACTCGAACGACTTAAAACTAAGTATTATTAAAGGTTTTGTCTGCAAACAGGTTTTGTCTTCAACAGACACACACACAGGCTTCAAGTCATACAATATTAACGGCTTATTAACCGAGAAAGTGAGGTTAATAAACGTTTTATTGTATGACTATTTTTAATTTATGCAAATATCGATCGGTTTCAACTAGCAAAAACACATGCAACCAAACTGTGAAATGGTGACATGAAGAACTTGCTTATCAGATGATTGAGGTCGCCCGCTGGTAAGTTCTCAATCTCTTCTGCTTTTAAGATATCTGTGAAGTATGTTCATGTCCGACTTTGTTTTCCTAATCATGTTTTTACCTTTCTGGTCTGTAACAAAGTTGTCAATCTCTTCTTGACTGTTAGGAGTTGTGTTTTCGTCGTTATTTTCTGTTATACCCTCCTCTGACTCTCTGAACTTGTCCGGATGATAGAATTCACTGGGAGAATGCTCCCAGTCGTCCCTCATGATTTCTTTTTTACCGAGGAAAGATATAAAATTTGATAAGCGCTGCGGACCAATTGTCATGGTAGCAATTCGAGACCGCAAATCAGCCAATCAAAGCGTACGTACAATCCAAGTCATATAATAATGAAGACTATATCCTTGTTTTGTTTATAAATGCAACATTAAACTGTTCTGCCTGTAAATATGGATTCATTTATGATTCAATAAATATGGAACTTCTATGCAAGCATCCTAACTGACAATAAGCAAATGTACCCATGCTTGGGCAGCTGATGGAACCGAAAGCATGGCCTTCTTTCAGAATGTGTGAATAAGATAATTTTAGAACATTAAGAGATACCAAAACAATTAAATTGGAGAATTCAAAATACATGATTGGCAATCTTCTTCAGCCACACTGGGCTCTCAAAACAGGGGCAGGTTTTGAACGGTTTGCTCTTTGCTGGGTGTTCCCTGATGCTGCATTTTGTAATATGTACAGTATAATTCATATTCAACGGCTATAACCAGTTTTTCCAGTTAAAGTGGACACAGTTCCTCTTTGAGTGTAAATTGTGGAAGTGAATGTGAGGTGGCAGAGTCCAGTCCATGGCACTTGCGTCCACCTCTTTTTCATTTCCTCAGCGGTTTGCAGTAAGGGGCAGTTGCGGTTGTTGTTGTTGATGTGGCAACAAAGGTCTTAGAACGAAAGGTCACAAGTCAAAAATGCACAGTAGAGATTATCTAGAAACGTTTCCTAATCTCCAGAGATCTGAAGATGATTAAAATGTTAATGTTTTGATAAGCAAACTTTCCAAGCTGGTTTATTAAGTCAAAGCAAAGCCCTCTCCTGACCCTAACCCAGAAGACAAAAATAGCATAACTTTGTTTTGTTGCTCAAA